ATATATATATATTCTACAATAAATAGCATAACAGTTCTATGCAATTTCTTAATATCTTAATATTTATTCTTAAACCCCTAATATTTACATTTACATTGTTATTTAGCAGACGCTAGATTGATCCAAAGCTGCTTACAAATGAGGACAATAGAAGCAATCAAACCAACAAAAGAGCAATGATACAAGTGCTGTGACAAGTCCCTGCAAGTCTAGCGCAATACATGCAGCAAGATTTTTTTTAAATAATAAATAAAAAGAAAACAAGTAGATAGAGTAGAAAAAGAACAGAGAACGTGAGTGTTAGAGCTAAACAATTGTTTTATAAATAAATAAAAAGTAGATAGAATAGAAATACAATAGAGCGTGCTTGATTTAGAGGGTCATATATATATATATATATAATAAACGAAAACAAGTAGAAAGAATAGAATAGAGAGTGTTAGTTTTATGTGGAAGAGACGTGTCTTTAACTGTTTCTTGAAGATGGCCATTGGGCTTCGGGCGTCCCGAGTTCGAGTCCTTTCCCGATCCTGTCCCCCTCTCTCTCTCCCACTTCACTTCCAGTCTGAATACTGTCCTATCATAATAAAGATAAAAACGCCCAAAAAAAAAAAATACAGAAAGTGATTATCTAAATATTATATTATGTAAATTATATATTATTTTAGTGCTGTCAAACGATTAATCGCGATTAATCACATCCTAAATAAAAGTTGTTTTTATAAAAGTTATATATGTATATATACTGTGTATATTTATTATGTATATATAAATACACACACATACAGTATATATTTTGAAAATATTTACATGTTTATAGATTTATATATTAATATCCTTATATTTTATATTATATAGATATATTTAATATATAAACATAACATACTTTTCTTAAATATATACATGCATGTGTTTATATATACATGATAAATATACACAGTATACACACACACATATATTATGTAAACAAAAACTTTATTAGTTTGACAGCACTACTTATTATATAAATATTACATATATTTATTAATATCTCCACCAATTAGGCTTTTTCCAATAATTTATGTTGTCTTGCTCTATTTTCATTTTGCTCTTTTTATTGTATTTTATTGTTTCACACAACAACGCTGCAATTGCTTTGGCAATACATTGTACAAATATTTGCCATGCCAATAAACCACCATAAAACTAAAAACTGAAGCCATGTATCAGAAATATTATGACCTATGATATTACTAGTCTAAAAGGGCAAGACCTCTGAGGTGGGACAGGCATTTGACGTTTTTAAACTAGCTATATTTTTTTTATTTTGTTTGTTTTTTTGGATGTAACATTTAAGTTAAATACATTCAGAATAATAAAAAAAGGTTAAATAAAACATTTTTTAAATATTTATTTTAATAAAAAAGTAGGATTTGTGAAAAATGTAATGTTACACCATTATGTACTATATTAGCAGAAAAGTGTCATCCATTTCTTTTAAAAGAATCACTTTTCAATTTCTAACACTATAGCAACTGTGTGTAATGTCAGCTGCAGAAAAGCACCAGGTAACTTCACATACACATGATATTCCAATAAAGCAAGTGAGACAGCAGTTAGTTAAATGCAGTATAATTAGGTGCATGTTCATTATACAGAGATTATTTAGGATAAGAGCACAGCGACACCAACACATATTGGCGTTAAACAAGCATCCACACAAACAGAACTGGAAACATAGGTTACAGATCTTATGCAACATAATCAAAATTATTACATCTGTTTAACGTCTTTAGTTAAAAAAAAAAAAAAGATCAAGATCCATGAGAAAAATATCAAAGGAGGCATTGAACAATAGATGCTTTTTTAGTACTCACATACTACGTACATTACAAATACAAATATAAATATTTTGTCCTTGTGACCATCTTTAAACCCTTTTATAATCCTTCGTAGGGATTAATGAGAGGAAATGACACTATATTTCATCCCCTCAAATGTTCAAGTTCGGTGGAGGTGTCATTTATGTCAAGATCATTTATGATGCATTGATCTCTTACAACAGAGTAAATTCATTTATAAAACGTATCTTGTCTGGATTTCAAGATCATGTAGCTATGAGCCATTATTATATAAGGAAAGGTTGGGAGGCATAATGTGTCAATTCCTCTTAGTGTTCTACATTCCTCAACACTGGATTTTTTTATAATTAACTGGGACAGCACTTAATAACAGCCTACATTTAAAACCAGTGATCTCTCCAATGGGACTCTGCGAGGAAATGTACTGACACCCAAACCAGTCGTCCATCAGATCTTCCTAGGCTCTTCTTCTAAACACTTTCAGTCTGTATCCATCAGACCAGATCAAAGCATACGGGGAAAAAGCAATCCAGGGAGACTTGCTGCTCTGACGTGCTCTAAAAGCACGTGTGAAGCAGGGTGATGTTTCTTGAGTTCATTCAAAAGTCACATTTATTTTGAGGAGAGTCGTTCAGTTCTTGCTCAGTCCCAGCAAGATTTGAGGTGGATGAGATAGATGGGGTAACGGTATGTTTACATTGTGTTGGCATTTCCATGGCAGCCTGGAGTGAGAAAACATTGTTTGGTTTGATTGGTGACAAACTGCATCTAGAAGATGGACAATGCCATTACAAAAACATATTATTACTTAACAATAGGACTGAGTAATATTAATAAAATTACCAATATAGCTGTGAAAAATACACACCCACACTCACACCCATATATATATATAGAGAGAGAGAGAGAGAGAGTGCCTTGCGAAAGTATTCATACCCCTCCATTTTTTTTACATTTTGTTATGTTGCTGCCTTATGATAAACTTCTTTAAATTACTTTTTTTCCACATCAATCTACACTCCATATACCATACTGACAAAGCAAAAACAGAATTGTCACAACTTCATAAATTTATTAAAAATAAAAAACTAAATATTTAGCTGAAGCACCTTTACAGCCTCAAGTTTTTGCTCATCAGCATTTTGCAATTATCTGCCATTCTTCACCTCAAACTCTGTCAGGTTGGATGGGGGCAGACACACATTTTCAGGTTTCTCCAGAAATATTTGATTGGGTTCAAGCCCAGGCTGTGGCTGGGCCACTCAAGGACATCTTTCTTGCTGTGTAGTTAGGATCATTGTCCTGCTGGAAGGTGAAGCTTCTGCCCAGTCTAAGGGTCTGAATGCTCTGGACTGGGTTTTCAATAAGGCTATCTCTATACTTTGGTGCACTGAGCTTTTCTTCTACTCTGATGAGTCCCTCAGTCCCTGCCGCTGAAAAACAGCCCCACAGCAAGAGGCTGCTACCAGCACACTTTACTTTTGGGGTGGTACTCTTCAGGTGATGAGCGGAGCTGGTTTCCTTCAAACATGATGCTTGGAATTGAGCTTCATCAGACCAGAGACACTTGTTTCTCACAGTCTGAGGGTCCTTTAGGTGCTGTTTTGCAAATTCCAAGTGTGTTTTCATGCGTCTTCACTGAAGAGAAGATTGAGTTTGGCCACACCACAAGTGTTGCAGCGATGTTTGTCCTTCTGTAGATTTCTCCTATCTCCACATATGATCATGGAGCTCAACTAGAGTGACCATCAGGTTCTTGGTCACCACTCTAACCAAAGCCCTTCTCCATCAATTGCTCAGTTTGGCCAGGAGGACAGCTCTAGGAAGAGTCCTGAAAGCATCATAAGCTTAAGTTGATCATAGCTCCACGGATGACAATGGAGCTACAATCAACTTATGCTTGCAATGTTTTTGGGAAACGCAGCCCTGGTTGTTTCAAACTTCTTCCATTAAGGTTAACAGAGACTACATGCTTCTGTGAACCTTCGAAGAAGCAGATTTTTTTTCTGAACTTTTCCCCAGATGTGTGGCTTGACACAAACGCTCTACAGACTGACCTCAGGGCTTGGTTTTTGCTCTGATATGCATTTTCAGCTGTTAGACCTTTTATTAAGATGTGTGTGTGTGTGTGAATCATACCCATTCAATTGAATTTGCCACAGGTTAAC